TTGAATGCGTACATTTCGACCTTGTTGCAAAGATACGATTTTCTGGGTGCGGAGGTGTCAAGTGATAAACTTCACAGGCCGCTCCCTGGGGCCGCAGGATGTGCTCAAACCACTCGCTACACACACAAAAGGGTGGTGAAGACAGGAAAAGAAATGATGGTGGGAATGGTGCTGAATGTCGGTAGCATGCAGGGGCCACTTTAGTGCGTTACACGGCGGGCTGGCGGGCAGCCAGCATGGCGAGGACGGGACCTCCTCCGGGACGGCTGCTCTGCTGACTGACCGTAAAAAAGGGAAAAAGAAGATTCCCAATAAATCCGGGGTCCGTTCATTGTTTCCCCCTATACGATATGCTTTCGGTGAATTTCATCGTTATACCACAAATGTTTCAGTCCTTGTTTTTGTTAACAAAAATTCTTGAATCTCCTCAAAAATAAAATAAATATTTAACTTTCGGTATCGGACGCCTCACCTCACCACGTAAGGGATGAGGTGAAACCGTTCTCCTTCCTCCTCGTGCTCGCGCTGACGCGCTGCCGCGCCCCAACTCTCCGCGCGGTCTCGTATTACCCGGGGTTCGCCCGGGGCGGTATCGTTTTCCTCGCCGTACTTCGCGGGTCTTTGCGCCGTCACTCTCGACGTCGGTGCGGAATGGTACGTTGTTGTTGGCGTTGCTCTTGTTGTTGTTGTTTTTTGTTGAATAATGGGCCCGCTTTACACCGCCGTTGTGTTTAGAGCGCCCCGCGGCGCGACTACGCCCCTCCACGGACCAACAGCGGGGCCTCCCGGCTGAAAATTAATAAAGCGAGCAAGACGGAGACAAAAGGCTTCACCGGTAGAAACAAAAACAAGCAGGCCCGCCCTTCCGCCAAACGGAGTTGCCAGCTCCACTTCGCTGCGCCGGCAACTCCGTTCGGCAGGGGCCGGGCCTGCTTGGCCTGCCGGCGGCGATGGTCGGGCCTTCGGCCCGACCATTTCAGTCTCGCGATTTACTGAAGTGCATAATCAAATAAATAATGTGACCGGTAAATTACTTTGCATATTTGAGTAAACTAAAGCGTTCGGCGGGGAGCCTGCGGCCCTAGAGATTTGCTCCTTGGAAATGACAAAAGACTGTAACGGGGCAACACCGTGACAACACCCCACCCTTCTGCTTTGCTTAAAAATTAAAAAAATGAACCCGCGCAGTTTTTAGATTGTATATTGTTTGTCAAACAGTCTTATAACTTGACTTTTTGCCATTGTTTTCAATATATCCACCTCTAGGGCCGAAACAGTAAAAGATACGGCTAATCCGAGGGTAGTTCCTGATTCAGAACGTGTTGTTTTGGGGGGGTACTTCCTCTGACATTTTACGATTGGACGCCTCCTTGTACGTCTTTATGTGCAACGTGGTCATTTTCGCCGTATTTTCGTCGAAAAAAGCACTCTAGTGCCCAAACGGTTCAAGATAGAGTCAAACGGAGAAAATTTTCGCCCAAAGGGCTCTACTTTCACGAGTTACCCCTTAGAAGACCATAAAAAAAAATTTTTTTTTTCTACTTTTTGGACCAACCCCTATTTCTTTGTTACCCCCTTTCACCCCCTTAGGGGTGGTTGCTAAGATTTGCACCAGGCGTTTCGTTGTCCAGGAGTGACCCCTAAGATACCCTGAAATTTGCAGACCTCTAGCTCATCTCCTTCCTCTTACACGGACGACGGACAGACGGACGGACGGACGGACGGACACGAGAGCGGTTGCATAAGCCCGCTTTAATGCTTTTTTAAAAGCAGAAGGGCGGGCTAAAAAACAGTCTGAGTCGAAACCGAAAATGTTGCGTAGGCCGTGCTCCTCGGGAAGCGCGGGGCGGGTGGCCTCCACCTCTGCCCCCGCCTCGCGCCCCAGGATTGCGCTGGGACGGTACGTCCCTGGGCCGGAGCCAGGAGTCTGGAGGGAGCCGCCGCCGCTGCGCAGCGCCCTGTGTGGCGCCGCCACCGCGGCCCGGGCGCGTGTCCAGGGCAGGACGAGGAGGAGGAACTAAAGCGCGCCGACGCCGCTCCGCCGCTCTGCAGTCGAGCCACGTGAGACGTGTGCTGCCTGCCACGTGAGGAGATATCAAGAAACAAGTTGCGTGGCCGTGGTGGTGGTGGGGGGCTGCAGCCTTCAGAGGAAAGGGCGGTGGCAACGCGGCGTTCTTTTTGTTGCCCCTCAACCCCCTCACATATATTTGCCGTTCCAATTCTCACGTTATTTATTCTGCTCTTTTACCCTTCTATTCCCTCCCTGCTCCCCCGTTCTCTCCCTCTCTTTCCCTCGTCATCTGCCCCGCTCTTCCGCCCTCTCCTCTTCTTTCTCTCTCGCTCGCCTCCCGCCGCGATACCCTTGGGAGATTCCGACTCTCCCCCTCCTCTCTTCCCGGATTCTCCCTCGCCCCTCCCCCCCCCCCCCCTCTCTCTATATCTTTGTGCGAGTCGAGGAGGCGGTGGCCTCGCCTTACCCAGCCGGGCGCGACGACAGAAGCTTCGGGGCCTGTTCTTATCGCTGGCCGGCTTTACACTGCCGCAGAGTTGTTTGTGGTCTCCCTCCCTCGCCCCTCCCCCCCCTCTCTCTCTCTATTGCTCTCTCTCTTTCTCTCACTCCTTGTCTCGGACCACCAGGCCTGATTGCCAAGGAGAGGGGCCAGGCCCAGGAGTCCGCCTGGCTGCAGGGAGGAAGATGGGCGCGGCGGCAGGGACAGGGCCTTGCGGGGGCGGCGGGAGGGGAGGCGGGGGTTACGGGATGTGCCAGAATTCATGTTTCTGGAATGTCGCGCGGAGGTTGTGGCTTCAGCTCGCCGGATGGGGAGTGATGGC